GAAGACTCGCGAAGCAAGATTTTCTTGATAAATTATACAGGCTTATATTTTATTTACATCAAAAACTGTGTTAAAATAACAGCGCTCGTCTTACTGCTAAAAGCAGCTTCTTCCAGACAACTTGCGCGTTGTTCCCACGAGGATGTAATTGCGTGCTCATCTACTGCTGATAGAGAACAAATTTTTGTTTTTATTTTTAATTATTAATTACTTAAGGTGTCATGTGGGACATGGTGTAATGGTTGCAGCTCCTTACAAACATTGATAAAACAAAAAAATTGGCGATTTAACAGAGATTAAGCAGAGAGTTAATTGCCAGTCCTTCTCGTCTGTTCTACGCCCTTGATTTGAGAACTGGCAGTAAATGTAAAATTAGAAGCAATATTTATTTCTTTATGTGTACATTGTGTTACCTAAAGGTGCGCTTACACGATGGCAATAATTGCTCGGCGACACGAATGGACCGATCTGGAGCAATTAATGGAGAAATTTCAATAAATTCAAAAAATTTCAATAAATTAATTAGGCGATATTGCTTCTAATTGCTCCAGATATTTCATATCGCTCAATGTCGCAGATACGAATTGACGAATATCCAATGGACTTGGAAATTCCTAGCAATTTTTGTATATGTCTCATTCGCACTTGTTTGTTTTGCGGCTTGCCGTCTTGCTGCCGCGGGGCGAGCGAGAGGTCTAAATAATAATAATTTCTAATTACTTTATTCAAAAGTAATTAAAAGTCTGTTCGTGACATGCTAGTAAAGTTTTTGAATAATATATCATCTAATTCTTTACACAATGAAAATTGCGGCCAAAAACGATCGCACCCAGATACGCCTATTCCTCTTCTTTCTTTTTTGTTTTTGATTAATAATAAAAAAAGCGCTACTAGCCGCCGCAGCAAGAACAATGTCGTCTATAGCGAGCGAATACTTAATTGCTCGTGTAGGACAGTATTGCCTAGTTGATGAAGTTGCGCCATATCGCTCAATATTGTATTGCGCAGTATTGATGCTTGTTGCCGTTGCCGTAAATTGCTTGATGTAGTCGTGACGTCATAGTTGACGAGTATTGACAGGAATTGAGCAATTTTAGTTGCCCGTGTAAGCGCACCTTAAATGAATTAATGATTTTGACTTTGACAACGAAAATAAGTACAGGTTACAATAAAAACAAATTTGTTAATAGCTTTGAATATATATATTTTGGCAAAAAACTACTGTAAGTAAGAAAACTCAATTCACAAATATAATTTTATTAGCTAATTCTTTTACGAACATGTTAATATGAAGTGTAGGGGCTTATCTCAAGATACTAGAATGAAGATGAACTAGTCCCGACTCAATGTCATGGACACCTGTCGGTATGCGTCATGCACACACGCATAACCGCATGTGAATTCGGCGTAGGCGCAGCAGTGCAATTACCCTCTGATATTATCCAATGATTTTTATGTTATCGCTTTTAGGGCTGTGTATGGTGAGTATTATAGAGACTAAAGAATTTTGCTAATATTTGTTTAACCAACAGCCCTGCGATTCTGTAACTCACTTTTCGAACTCACTCAGCGGTTTTCGCAACGGCGGTCGCTCTGAAATCAGTCGTGAAGCAGTCATTTTATGATTTGGCATTCTAATAAACAATAAACTACAAGCTTCCACCTTTTCAGAATGCCAAATCTAAAATACTGCTTCACGCTGATTGTTTGAGAGCGGCCGGCGACCCGAAAACCGCTGTGTGAGTATCGAAAAAAGTAATAAAAAATTTCAATACTACGTATATACGTTTTTGTATTTTATGTATATTTTTTGTTCGCAGTTATTGGCTCGTAGGTAAGAAATTGCAAATATATTGTTTGTCTCATTGATTTATGAGAACAGGGTGTCAGGATCCAAGCACGTGCTAAGTTTAGAAGACATACAGCCTGTGCTTTTGGAATATAAATACAGAGATGCAAATACGTAGGGCCATTGACAATTGACGTTTAACGGCATCTCTTGGAATAAAGCCTCCATTGATAGAATTGGACATAGACAAAGAGCAAGATATGTTTTAGGCACTCTGCACCTTTAGATTTTTCCGTTAAGAAATAATATCTAGATTATACTTCGCTGACTGTCAAGTACTGATAAGCTTCACTGCAGAAAGATATTTCACTGCTTTTTATATGAAAGCAAGTTTCTTCCAACAAGCACAAATTTTACCAGCAATCTGAAGATTCAGTAGATAGAATACCTAACCCTAGGCCAACAATCACGGCTGGATTAAATAAGTAATTAAAATAAAAAACTTAAATTAATAATAAATACGTATATTCGAAAAATATAATCATTAACATACCTATCCCATATTCAAATATAAACATTGATATACAAAGAACCCAAGATGCACAGTCTCGAATAAAAGTAACGCTCGAAAGTGTCCCGAAACACTATTTCTGTCCATAACAGTATATGTTACAAGCATATATTATTGCAAAATCAATCTTACGCGAATTGCTTAAAGTTGTTATTACAACGCAGTGTATACGTACTTAAAGCAATAAAATTTTACGACCGACCGTGGTCGGTAGGACAAGGTATTGAGTGGAGTCGAACATGACTTTTTTATTTACAACTATTTAACATAATTTTAAAATTTATCCGACTTTTCGGGTGCTTTACAGCGTGAGTGGTCACGGTGACTGAAGACAAAAGGTGTTGGATGTTAAATAGTTGTAAATTTATAATAATACATAACATTAATCCGGTTAAAAAGTTTTTTCTTTAAATTAAAAAAAAATGTTAAATTGGCTACCTCCTGACCCACACTTTATATAGCGTAAATATATTTGTCAAAAACTACACACAAAAAAGTTCAAGAGTACATAAATTTATTTATAAAAAAAACACAAATAAATAACATCGACTCCACTTATAGACGCGAGACTATTTGAAATGAGCGCACAATTTAGAATGTTGCGCTCATTTTTTGAGGACGTTTTTTAGACGTTGATTGTGCATCTTGGGTTTTTGTATATCAATGAATATAAAGTATTTATGTTAGAAAATAGATGTTAAAGTGTCAACAAAATTTACAGCCCTGCGCACCGCATAGTGATTACCTCCTGCGCGCGAGCAGAACATGAATAATGCATAAACTTGTTAAAAACGCGTCAATCTCCCATTCTGTTGGTTTATCACTCGCAAATGATAGTGTCGAGGCGATCTCGTCTTACTTGTTACCCTTAGTATGTTTTTCCTTTATAAAATCATACGGGACTCGGACAGGGTAAAACGAGAAATTAAGGTTGTGTATATTTCTTTGGACTTTTTATTTACCTACTATGAATAATTTTTTTCTAACCGCCGCATTATTCTACTTGTAGGCAGGTTCGACTGCAAGGTCTCAGGTGCAAATCTCGGTTGCGTATAAAAAAGTAAAAAGGTGCCTCACGGCAGGCACTTACTGAAGCCGTAAGTTTTATATAATTTTAATCAGTGTGCTAATTTAAGCTTAGATACAATGGTCTTAGATAATTATTTTTTAATTCGAACTATTAAATTATTGAACGACTCAAAACTCTCTCTCTCTCTTCACTGAACTGAACTGTTCTCTAAGTGGTTTAAGTTTTATTTAATAATCGAATAGCAAATGCATCATAAAATAAGAACCAGGCAGGGGTCTGAGAATCGCGTGCAAGAAAAACCTGGTAGATGGCAATTAATTTAAAATTGGACGTAATATGTTATCACATTTCCCGTCGAGAAAAAAATCATATTACCGTAATTAATATTTTCCCACGGCTCATTTCATTTAAATGTAACAAGTGAATTAAGTATAATATAAATAGGTTGCATCTAAAATTAAATCCATGATCATCGCCATCCTCGAAAGGAGATGGCACTATAAGAAGAAGAAGATAAATCTTGTGTTGTTTAGACATAGACATAAAATTTATTACTAACAAACACACATATACACACAAAATAACAATAATCAAAGAAAACAATTAAGTAAAAAATATAATGAGAGATATAAAAAAAAATCCCTTTTCCCATTCGGTTCGTTTTAAGTGTGTAATAAATGTGCCGTGACTGTAATTGGCCCTGGCTCAGCATTATGCTAAGGAGCAGAATGTTCCACAGAGCTGGTCATTCTGCCAGAGACCACAGCAACTAGTTTGCGCCTTAATCGCAAAAAATGAAAGAAAAGGAATGTATATATTATAAGGAATAATAGTTAGTAGAAAAAAAAATAATAATAGTAAAAGTTAGCAGTGTAAGTAATGAAGTTAAAAATAAGAATAATTGTTAAGTAAATAACTTACATGTAGTTGCAATAAAAATTATAAGAAACTCAATTTTTTATGTTAGATATTAATAAAACTTTAATTACAATCGTTAGCATACCGTCTTACCCAATGATTTAGGTTAACAGAATGCGGATCACCTACCTACATGTCTTATCAATAAAAAAATAACAGAACGGTACCTATCGGTCTCACAATTTCCTTAAGACTAAATACAAAACGCATTACTTCTGGATGCTGTATCATACCATATGCATATATTATGTAAACATGACTGTAATCGATTTAATCAAGTTTTATCTCTAAGGGTTGTTAAATAAAACTAAGATAGAAAGGCAGGATGTAACTTAAGGACTTACTTTATGTTGCGGCTAAATCGGACATTTTATATATCATTTAATGTAAATTTCTTAGGTTAGGCTGGACAACATAGTTAGCTTATGTACCTTATACATTATATCATATAAAATAAAATAAAAACTTTTTCTATAAAGTCTGGTGCATTAACGGCTTAGCGAGCGATTCTCTACCCTGAATTGTCTATTGTCCATTCCAGCCCTGGCCCTGAACCAAAACAGACCTTGCGCTTAAAGCTATCCTGGAAAATAACCGAAGAAACCAAGCAATAACACAATGGGCGGGGGTGAACTGGCTGGCACGAGCGCCGTGTATTCCACCTACAACGCGTTCAGACCACAGCTCGAGAAATGGGTGAGGAGGCGGTGGGGCCGCCTCAGCTCGACTCGTGCAGTTACTGTCCAGACACGGCTGTTTCAGTAGCCATTTTCATACGGGAGTCAGACATGAGGAGGCATCAACCTGCCACCATTGTGAAGCCAGCGTTGTCGATGACGCATTCCTCCCATGATTGCTCAGCATGTGAGGTGGAGGCGTCGACTAGGCGTGCTACAGAACGAGAACGCTACTCTCGATAACATCGTGGGAGTAGCAGTTACAAGCCAGAGGGCCAGGGAGGTCGATGCCGTAGATCATCTGCGTCGCCTTAGGAAACCACAGCGTCGATGTTCCACCGTGCAACGCGTTGTGTAATCCTGGGCTCGCAGACGATAATTGAAGATTGGTGTCTCTAAACACATACTCTTAAGGTAAAGTTTTTGCATACCTTTGACTCAAAAGAGTGTGTCAGAAACACCACGTGAAAATAAACAAATGACGATCACGGGATGGGATCTTGCAACTAAGCCATAAAAGCCTGAGCCACATTTGATAATTTGAAAAATAAACAGAATCAATTCTTAATTGCAACATGTACTTTCATCTTCGTTAAACCAGTTCACACGGGTTCGTTGCATGTTAATTTACAGCGAATATTAATTAAAAACAACTTTATAGTAAATATTAATCAGAACTGGTTGCTCTGATCGTATTAATATTATCTATGGTCTGCTCTACTTGTCTATTACTTTGTGTACTCTGTGGGGGGTTAATTATGTTATTATTTGTTTTATTTTCTGTATCATCAGGGGTTAAATTCCTTATATGTTTTTTTTTTAAATTAAACCCCTAACATACATAATTACATAAATAGCGTTTAACAATATGAATGTTGTATGTCTACTAATAAGGAATGTTTTAATCATAAGTACAATATAAGTAAATAAAATGGGTTAGCATATAATATGTTGTTTATATAACGAACACATGATTTAATTGACTAGATTCACAGAATTACTTAAACGTGCAACTTACTATAAAATACCAATGAAATCTTTATCTATCCAGCAATTTTGTGAGACCATCATATTGCCAACATAGAAAATAGCTCGCGTTTTAAGGGTGTATTTAACTTTACGAAATAGACATAGACACATACATAACATTTATTACTAACAATAACACACACACATAAACACACAAAATAACAATAATCAAAGAAAAAAAAATAATGAGAGATAAAAAATACAATTTTTTTCCCTTTTCCCATTCGGTTCGTTTCAAGTGTGTAAAGCGTGTGTGCTGTGACTGTAATTGGCCCTGGCTCAGGAGCTGAGGATTATGCTGAGGAGCAGAATGTTCCACAGCGCTAGTCATCATATAATATATTTACAGTTTTATGTATAATATTTTTATACTGGTTTATATAATAAAATATTATTTATAGCAGAGATCTAGTGCGATTTATTCTTATTAAATTATTATGAATCACATTTCGAATTTAGGTGTTCTAAGTTTATAATAAAGACTTGCCTATGTGTCACAACTATCTTACGGTAATCCGCGTGTAATTCTGGACATAGTAAAATATAAGATTATCAGGATTATCTGGTCAGTAGCGTATTGAAGTTTTGCCAATTTCAAAACTATGATCCACTAATAGGAATTGCTCACAATTGGCCAAAATGCTTGGTTCAGGGCCTCGCTGAATATCAGTGCTGAGGTCACAAGGCTTACCCGAGTGTCCACAGCGAGGGTACTTGGCCTCACCAAATAACTTTGTTAATTAATGTTTCTTTATTTCGTGGTGGTTTAAGTTCCTATGTAATTAATCACAAATGTTGACATTACTTTTTGTTGAGTTGAAATCTTCATTTTGATTCAGGTCATGTTTTAGTAAAATATCTTGCAATATGTAATGTTTATAGCTGTGAGTTAAGATTAATTATTTGTGATTTTAAATGTAATGGACATCTCTCTGAATGCATGACTTAGACAATGATTATAGTTATGTTACTAAATTAAGGTAATACATGTTATTATAGTTCTTCATTTTTAATCGCTTGTCAAAAATAATGAATTTGTTGGAGATCATCACGAAACATAAGGTAAATATATCGGAAACTGATAAACTAAATGAGTTTTAGGACTTATGTACTTATTTTCATGAGATTGTTTAAAGATGAAAATTAAATCCTTTTTGTAAATAGTTACACCCATTTTTTTATAGAACAGGGGGCAAACGGGCAAGAGGCTCCCCTGATGTTAAGTGATACCGCTGCCCATGGACACTCTCAATGCTATAGAGCTCGTACATGCGTATAAATATTACACACATTCTCAAATAAAAGCATTACCTATGTTAACGTTTTACAATTTTTTTTCCAATAGGCTGTAATGTAGGTGAAGATACGATAGGCAGTACTTGGTGGGTCTTCGAGCCGGCGCGGAGGAGTTACTAACAGTATCCTCTAGAGTCTTGAACGTAACGGATAAAAATATGTTACTCAATATAAACATATGCAATGATGGTCATTGGCAAATAAATAGGTTTTACTCTGACTCAATAATCCATAGCAAAACGAGTATAAATTTTTATGAGACTGATAAAACGGTAACGATGTTGTAATAAACGGTTATACAGCAGTAGAACTGTGTGACCCCACTATATATACGATTTGATTCCCGTATCTTCACTTCTTATAATGAAGGTATTTTTAACAGTAGATAAGTAAAATCATTTATAGGAACTGTCCACCATAAACTAGTTTTGGCCTCCGCCGAGACCGAAAAATATCTTTTAAAATTGATGGTTTGTAGTGACTATCATTGTAATTAATATTAATTTCATCATTATATAATATTATTCGAGATATATTTTTAGCTTTCGACTCAAAAACCTCATTGTATTCTATTTGTAATCTTTATACTTCTTAATTTAGCCCTAAATTTTAAAGGTCAAGAAAAAAACATAAATTTGTAATGTTTTTACTTAAAAATACAAAGTACCTACATTAAAGACTAAAAATAGACACAACCTTTATGCAATACTTGCTTGTATTAGAAGATCGATAATTCTAGCAAACAATAAAGCTTTATCTCAATTATATCGTGAATTTAACATGGATTTAAAAGTAATGTGACCAATATATTAATATTCAATCGTATTCCTACAGCTAACATAAATTATATAAAAGAAAAACCAATTATACTAAACATATAGCCAAAGATCGAATACATAATATATACAAAAAGTTTCACACATTTATAAAAAGAAAATATATTTATAAAATTTAAATACATTTTACTAAGTAATACCTAATTCGGCAGTGATGTGTGATGGTGTGAAAGTAAGAGTATGTTGTGCGTGCGTGAGGGTGTGCTTATGATGCAAGTGATTTAGCGCTATGGATATTCTTAATTCTTCTTTTAACCACATTCTGCAAAAGCAACAAGTCAAGTTATGAATTATAATTGTATGAATGTCACAATATCCAAAAGTTTTTATCAATTACATTCGATATTGCTACTGGGTACATAAAGCCTACAAAAATGATTAGGCAAGCTTCTAAGGGTTTCATAAAGTATTAAACATTAAATTACCAGAGTAATTAATAATGTAACGAGCATAATGATTAATGGCCCATCGGTTTTATTGCGAACGTTTACGGTAATTTACGCAAGTAGATATTTCAAATATCAGTCGTAGAAGACTTAAAAAGTTGTTGGGCGTTTTCATATGATTTGACATCTCACGACGCTATAGTTATTCATTTTAAATAACTACTATTTACACGAAAATTCGTATATAATATATAAAATACTGTTATATAACCAGTCTTAATGTACGGCTGTGGAGCTTGCCACGCCAATCGCGAAAGAAGCTATTGGCGTAACGCAAAACATTAAGGACGGGTTGGGTCATGGAGTGTCGAAAAAAATGCCGAAATAGAAGAGTTGGTCCTGCCCAACATTATAGGCGAATATAAAGCCCATCGACTTCGTTGAAAGCATCTTAAGCGCATAGGCCAAGATCGGTCAGTGTACCTGAGCCGTCCTAGCCGTAGGTCGGCCACCAATAGGCCTTAGGTACAGCTGGCTCGACAGAGTAGAGGAAGATCTGCTGCTTCTGAAAGCCAGTAATTGGCAGCCAAAAAGTTCTCATTTCGGAGCCCAAGAAACTTTTTCAGTCACAGAGCCCGCGATGTGTGTCTCTTTAATTGAATCAACGATCTATTTTACCAAATAAATAAATATTCTAATAGAAATAAGCTTAGAACATACATGTACCTGATTTGAAAAATATCAAAAATCTTTCGTAGTTAATACGACTAAAATTTCACACATACGAATTGCATATGTGTAGCATACCTTGCAGACAAAGGCGATCGATTTAGCATCGATAGTGGTTTTATTGTTTTATTGTTGAGTGACAAGATATAATTAAAGTGCAACAAGGACACACTGACTGACACTCTATTTAGATTCGGCTATTTTAAAACGATTTAAGATGGTGTTAAGTGATTTTATTTTAACGCTATCGCTAACCAGTTTACTTGGTAACGCATGTGTTTAATAAGGTCCTTAGATCGATTCAAAGGCATAGACTATGAAGTATTTATGCACTAAAGATAACAACAGTACCTAGATTATTATTTTTAATTGTCTTACAAACAAAAAAAAATAAAACAAACCAGTGGCGCTATAACCCTCTGGGCCTCAGATTTCTGTATCTGTTTCATGATCTTTTGTCAACCAAATAGGCAAGTTGGTGATCAACGTCCTGCGCCTTGTCAGGCGTGTGTCCACGCCGCCAATATTTTGGGTCTGGATGTAGGATGATTCCACTAGGCCAACACTGCTTACTACTACAGAAGAAAAATTGTACCTTTCGATCTTAATGTTAGAGTTCTATATCAAACGACCAACGTTACTAATACAAGTCGTAGACAAAGTACTTTATAACCGTTTAAATTAAATATTGTACTGTCCAAGTCGTGGCATGATAATGCTACTATTTACTTTTATTTTGACATGGACAAACTCAGTCTAAACCAAATACGAGGTAGTAAATTATGCTAGAGGCAAATAGCCGACAAGAACAATATTAACTTTAAAGCATTGTTTCATAATTACAATATTATACATTTATATAATTTCTCTAATACTTTATGAACACAATATGTAGGATGACGTCTGTGATACATATATTATACAAAACAAATGACAAATCAACAAAATAAGATTAATGTTATTTATT